TAACATCAGAGAAAATACAAATTTGATACAGCTGTAAATTTTCTTTCAGCAGAATGTAGCAGAAAGAAACACAAAAGCTCAAAATTGCACTATGATTAATATCTGCAGAAAGATGGAGCAGATTGTTATATTCATTAACGATTTCTCTGATAACCTTCATTTATTCTTTAATAATTTCCTTCCCAAGAGCACTTTAATCTTTTACAAGAGGCAAATATTGTACGTCATTGTAATGAAATCCGTACCAACTGTGCATTAATTGCATTAAAGATGAAAATATGAAGAAAGTGCATTATGGCACATGAAAAAAAAAATATTTTCAGACTTAATTAATTGATCATATTCTGTTACTCTCATCTAACTGTATTCAGAATTTTTTAAATACATTGTCATTATACTTTTTCAAGCAAGGTAAACAAAGTACATTAACTACATTTCATTTAATTGTTGGGGGGGGGGGGGGAATCCTTTCTTCTTTTTCAGGCAAGGCATTTGGTAAATTAAAATTTTAGTACTTTTTCGTTTTCTCTTTCAGGCAAAGTGTACAACATCACCCCTTACATGGAGTATCACCCTGGGGGAGATGACGAATTGATGAGAGGGGCGGGGATTGACGGAACTCAACTGTTTGATGAGGTAAGTTTTTAGCTCTCCTCAACGAAGTTGGGGGAAGCTTATGTGATACCCTAAGCGTCGGCGTCGGTGTCGGCGTCGGCGTCCCAGGTTAAGGTTAAGTTTTTTGGAGCAGTTTTCTTTTTAAGGACTTCTATGTCCTATATTGATTAGACATGCATGGAAGATGTTTCTATTGTGTTTCATTGTACCAGTCAAAGTTTCAGATGCTGCAATTTCAGCAAAGGAATGACCAGGTTAATGTTTTTGGTGCAGGTTAACATTTTTGGTGCAGTTTTTGGTGTAGGTCTCTTTTCCGAGTAACTATAAGACCTATGTTGATCAAACTTACATGGATGGTACATCTTAGGATGCATATTACACGACTTGCTTCAGATGCTGAATCTGACCTACATTTTCCGGTTGAGTGAACAGGTTAAAGTTTTTGGTGCAGGTTTCATTTCGAAGATACTATGAGCCCTATAATGACCAAACTTGCATGGATGGTACATCTTATGATGCATTCTACTAGTGAGACTTGCTTCGGATGCTGAATCTGACCTACATTTTCCGGTTGAGTGAACAGGTTAAAGTTTTTGGTGCAGGTTTCATTTCCAAGTTTCTACGAGACATATAATGACCAAACTTGCATGGATGGTACATCTTAGGATGCATACTACCAGTCTTGCTTCGGATGGTGAATCTGACCTACATTTTCCGGTTGAGTGAACAGGTTAAAGTTTTTGGTGCAGGTTTCATTTCCAAGTTACTATGAGACATATAATGACCAAACTTGCATGGATGGTACATCTTAGGATGCATATTACAAGACTTGCTTCGGATGCTGAATCTGACCTACATTTTCTGGTTGAGTGAACAGGTTAAAATTTTTGGTGCAGGTTTCATTTCCAAGGTACTATGAACCCTATAATGACTAAACTTGCCTGGGTGGTACATCTTAGGATGCATACTACCAGACTTGCTTCGGATGCTGAATCTGACCTACATTTTCTGGATGAGTAAACAGGTTAAAGTTTATGGTGCAGGATTCATTTCCAAGTAACTTGAGCCCTATAATGACCAAACTTGCATGGATGGTACATCTAAGGGTGCATTCTACTAGGCTGGCTTCAGAAGCTGAATCTGACCTACATTTTCCGGATTAGTGAAAAGGTTAGTTTTTTATACAGGTTTCATTTCGAAGTAACTTTGAGCTCTATGTTGAACAAACTTGCATGGATGATACATCTTAGGATGCACACTAATGGACTTGCTTCAGATGCTGAATTCGACATACATTTTCCAGATAATAGACCTCGTGAAAGTTATGGGTGCAGGTCTGTCACCAAGAAACTATAAGGCTTATATAAACCAAAGTTGCACAAATGATGCATCAAGGGATGAAAACTCTCAATCTTGCTTCAGATGCTGGATTTTAATTACATTTGCATGATGAAGAACTAGTTTTAAGTTTTTATATAGGTCTATTCCAAAGTATCAAAATTGCATAAATTTTGCAATTTTGGATGTATAACACTTTTTGTTGGTTAATTGTGTGACTTAATTTGCCTTACTTAAAGACAACATTCGTTGAGGTGAGCTCTGTAATCTCTGATTACCTATGTTTATATAATCATTTAACTAAATTGATACAATTTTCAAGTGTATCAAATGCAGTATTTTTCCTAAAGTGAATTGTTTTCTTCCAGAGCTTAATTTTCAGGGTACATTGTAAATCAAAAGGTAAATTTTAAAGGATTTTATAAGGAAGAAATGAAAATTGATTTTTTTTCTCCCACTAGTTTGTAAGATTACGGCACTATTTCTGCTGACAAAAAATTGCTTTATTTGATAACCGGATTATTTAGGGATTTTGATAACAAATACATTGTTTTATCGACAAATTTATCATGATCAGGGGAAGAATTATTTTCTTATTGAATTATGAATTCCAGCAGAAACATTAGAGGGCCCTCATGTTTAGACTTTGTCATAATTATAAGATATTAAATTAAATTCCTGTGTGGAGCATCAGAAATTGCAACAGATTAAAGTGAAATTTAAATAAAAAGTTAATATTTTTTCCCATTATCCATTTCTTCAATAAAGATTTGATTAATCTAAATCTTTTAGCTTGTAACATTTGGGGCTGTTATATAGAACATTAAATTATGAGAGAATTTTTGGCTGTCAGGGTAACTTAACTGGAGCAAATAATTTTTTTATTGTTGATTGTCTCATAATGCTGATATATGTATTTGTGTCCTATATTTTAAAATAAATATGAGGTATATCATTTGTCAGCTAGCATTTACAAACTGGAATTCCCTACCAGATTAGAAAATTTAATAAAATACTATAAATCACTTTTTATTCGCGAAAACTTTATTTTCGCGTAATTACGCGAGACGGTATGCTCGCGAAAATTTCATTCTCGCGTATAATAGAATTCCTTATGATTATATAGAGCAAGGATCACAATTTGTGAAAATTTTGTCTCGCTTATAAAGATTCAATGACTATCTTGCAAAAATAATGTGTCGCGAAAATTAAGTAATCTACAGTATGCAATCATTAAAAATGACTGTTTTCTTGTAGGTTCATAAATGGGTAAATTATGAATCAATGTTGGAGAAGTGCTTTGTGGGAAAGCTGAAGTCGACAACTCCAGTCCATAGAAGAGGTGGGTGCTTAAGAATTTGTAGAAAATAGGTCAATTTGACCTACTTTTTAGAACAGTGAATTACCTTTTCCATTGGAATTCTGAAATCTGACAACAAATATGAATCATTGATTTTTTATAATTTGTAATTAAAGTCTTACATACTACATTGTATGAGTCAATTGTAATATGTAGGACTGTTTATTAGTGAGAATTTTAATATAATTGTAAAGTTATAGTTATTCTTTAGAATTGCAAGAGTACCAGTTGGAAGACTTAGTTGTATTTGAAGTAAAAACTGCACAAAGTCCCATTATATTCTCTGAATATGTTGACTTTAGACTTGACCTGGACAAGACTCTAGTTATTGGACAGACTTGAACAGCTTAATTAACCATTTGACCTAACATTAACCCCAAAAACTTGTTCAGCAGAAGCTAAATTAAAAATTTTTAAGCATATTGATCAAACTGGCTGCTGTAACTGTTCGGACTGTTCGGACATTTTTTTCTTTTCATTGGTATGTGGATATATAGATTTTTCTGTCAAGAGCACAAGGCAGGCAAAGAATCAGTAAATCCTATTACGAATAGTAGCCCTAGAAGTTAAATATTTAACAGCAGCTATTTCAATCTGTCACTAGACCAAGTTCTTGTATTTTCTAATCCTCTTGTTTGCTGACAGATGGAGGGTGTTTTCATGATTTCTAGCTCTTCATTTCCCGATACTGGAAATCAAATTATCTACATTGGTGTTGAATTTCCGATAATTTGAGATTCAGCAGGAATAAACACCAGTGGTTATCACGTCAGCTATTTTTATTAAACTGGGCAGGAGTTTTTATCATTTGTTGGAATTCTTCTAAATTTTTAAAACGTGCTCTGTCATGGTAGTTTGGAAGCAGCTATCAGAAGTTTATAATCAATAACAGAAGAATGAATTTTAACATATTCATCACAGGGATGACTATAGAGAATCACAAAGTATAGAAATCCTCCTCTTGAACACCCTTTACTGTTTTAACTTTTTTGTAGAGGGCAGAGATTGATTTAGTTTATAAATTTAGTAAGAATTATGAATATTCAATCTGCTTAGTGTACATTGTTTTCAGTACTTTCAGTTCTTTGAGAATTTTGTTAAGAATGGCATGATGCATACAAAAATAATATGAGTGAAATAGAGAAAGAGAGAGAGAGGAGAGAGAATTAAGGAAAACAAACTGAGTGTCAGATTTTCTTTGTGATACAGTTTCCTTGTTAAGGACCCTGGAACCTTCTATATCTGCACCAGGGCTTAGTAGTAAGTGTCTTACTAACAGTATGTGGTTTCTATGCTTATACTGCTTATGCTGCTTTAACTGCAGACTTAACAAAATGTTTTATGTTTGGCTTTTTAGCATATCATGAATATGCTTCTGTAAGCAACTGAAGAGATTTAAGAGCTTAAATATCCATTTGTTTGTAAAGATCCTCATATTATGCAATGTTAATGCATATATATGCTTGATGTCAATGAGCAAATGGTACATAACACATCATGCTGAATTGCAATGCTTTTGTATGTACTATTTGCAAGGTGAATAATTGTAATTATAGATAAAGCCAAAAAAGATAACAGTTTATCAGATTTATATAAAATTTAAGTGAATTACAGTTAAACCTGTCTAACCCCACACCTGTGGAATCCTTTTCATTGTGAATTGTGACACACATTTTGTATTCCAGTTTCTGGTAAATGTACTGCATATTTCCATATTTTTGACACTATGCAGTCTGACACCTTGTCTATTTGACACAGACTTTGCCCCCCCCCCCTCCCAACTCTCATTGCATGTTGAATAAGCTAAGTTTCACTGTATAAAATTGATGTATTACTAAAAGGAGATGACTTGTAGTTTGTTTTCAGCAAGAAAACTAGTGTCAAGTCTTAGAATCTTGCTTGTGAATAAATCAAAATTATTGTCGTATGGCATTGTCTGAGAAAAGATTCATTCAAAATTAGCTCTATCAGTGACCAGGTTCTGGGGCTTTTTATCATGTTACATTGGCAAGACTTTAATTTGTCCTTTATTTATAAACATTTGATAATAAGGTAATGTTTCTTTCATTATTATGTATTATACATTATAAATCTTGTTAACACCATTTATCAAAAAATGTTAATACGAGGGTTGTTCGAAAAGTTCGTGGACGATGTCCATCCTCGTTATATTACTCAATGGAAGTTAAAAACAAGCACATCATAATATGTAAAAATATTTGTTTTGTTGATGTGGGAAGTTTCATTCCATTTGATTGAACACAAATAAATTTACTTCATTTTAAAATCAACATGTTTTGTACCCGCGGAGCACACAAAACGGTAATGTAACGTCAACACATAGCGTCGAGAATTTATAATAGATACTATACCTATACATTTCACACAGAATATTCCAATGCCCATTCATTAAATTCTTTTTCTAATACTTGACATTAATTTTTTAAGAATAGATCTCATTGTATAATTTCCCTTGTTAAGGTTGTAATTTTCTTTTAGTACCTAACTCTGCTTTCACAGGATAAGCACCTATGAAGTGCCTTTGTCTTTCATTTACGTTTCAAATTTTTAAGTTTTGTTCAGAAGTTTACAGTAAAACCGTTTCTTCACAGGTCATCCTCATCCGATACAGAGTCTCTGTCACTCAAATATTGCCTGTACTATTTGTACACACATGCACAACTCGCTTGTGACATATTTCCTTGATTCCTTCAACATTTTTAGAGTTTATTCAGGATTATTCCAGAGAAAAACACAAAACTGCTTCGGTATCTGCTGCTCCGTGACGTTCTAAAATGTCATCGTTTTTTTTCGATTTCAATAAGGACTACTTATGTTCTCAAGTTGATTTCTTTTCAACTAAGCAAAATATAAAACCATAATTTGGTACACATATCGATGTAACAATTCTTAATTTGAATTTCTAGGTAGTTTTTCGTTTTTCCTCCATTTTACAGAGAATATGACTTTTGATATTATTTTTTGTATTGTCTGTAACTGACTAAATTTTGACCTGCTCCGCGATCCGATTTTTGCATTTTTTAAATCTGGATAAGTTTTTAATCAATCGTAATATTTTGTCAAAATTAATGCACATTATTTGGATTTATTGTTAAAATATTCCTACCAAATTTGGATAACATATGACGTCAAATAAAAAAGATATGACAGTTGTCCACGAACTTTTCGAACAACCCTCGTATGTACTATATTATTAAAATTTTTTGCTAAATGATGTTAACAAGATTTTGGTCAACTCACAAAATAATATACTTTAACTAATAACATCACCTTTCAAAACAATGTTTTCATTGGGAACTTTTATTACATTGCCCTTGATATTACAATATTTTACTGTGAAAAAATGAACATCATAATAACCGGACTGCACTGTAAAAAATGTGCTTGTACATAAGATAACTTTGAGTTTTTCCTTGAGATAATTTACTGACCTTTGTTTAATTAAACTCACAATGTCACCGAAATTTAGATTGGGTCTTAGACCATGATAATAACACTTGCATTTGGAGACAATAGAGAAAATAAAGTCAGTTTCATTTGAAGTGTTGTATTGGGCAGTTCTTATTTAAATTACTTGTATTTTACAAATAAAAATATCATAACCCCAGAATAACATTCTTTATTCTTCTCCAGACTCTGTTGGAAAATCCCTTAGTACAGATTCAAAGAATGGTGAGTACTGAGATTATTTTTTCAACAACCAAAAGAGTCCCTAATTTTATAATAATATTTTTAAATATGCAAAAATGGTAAATAATGGCTTGTAAAAGTTTTATGAAAGAAAAAATATTTAAATAAAGTAACTGTTAAAATTCCTGCCTGGTTATAATAAATACACAGCAATTGTTTTATCTTTACAGGGCCCATGCCTCCTCCATCAATGAAAGTACCGCAAGTACCAGCAGTTCCTAAGTATGTAATGGTGTAACTTAAAACAATATACCGTAATTTCGGGAATATAGGTCGATACTTTTTTTTCTCAGAACCGCTGGGGTCGACCAATATTCAGAATTCGACCTATTTAAGGCTCAAGTTTACGAAAAATGCCCCCAAATCAGTAAAATTTACGCCAATTTCAAAGCAAATCTGTGCCACTTTCGTAACTTTTTTGATTATTTTCGCAAAAAAATTAATGCTCCAGTAAACAATAAAATATTTATTCTATAGCTTTCTTACAAAATAAGTTCCATTAATTATCTGTTGATGACAAAGGAAAACAACGTTGCTATATCTATTAAATAATTCCTCAACGTATTATCCATTAACATCATGCGGTATCCATCTTGTGATGTTAGGAAGTCGCGATCGTGTACTAAAAGTAAAACCGCAACCGTATCAAAATTTTAAATACGGAAAATTTTCACGATCACAACTGTTGTGTTTTTACCATTTATTAGTAGCGATAAATTGAAATAGTATATCAAATATTTTTTATTGTCTTATGTTTATTTAAATGTAAAACGAGTGAAATAATCAATTCAATTCCTAAATTTAATTAAAAAAAAAACAAAAGTCATTACTGTTTTTTTTTTAAATATTAATTAATTATAATATAGAATTTTAATTGTCTGACAGATAAAGGGATTTACACTGTGTACGCAAAGGTGTTTAACACCTGTGTTCACTGTTGGTTTAAATGCCTGCGGGGCATGATTAAGAAACCCACGTGCCATTATAGGGTATTAGTGTTACACATCATTGAACAAACAATGTCGTGAAATTCATGTTGAAAGTCAAATTGTGAATGTACTCTCAATTAAAATTTATAAATTAAACTTATAGAGTGTTAATATGATTTCAATTCTTAACTGTTGCTTGATTTATACATTCAATGGTCATTTGCGTGTTTTAGCAAATCCCTGGAGAAGAAAAATAAAAATGGCGGACATCGAAGTAATTGTCGTCCACCGGTAAATAATGTTTGAGTAAAATTTATTAGGAATGTGTCCAAGTTGTTCTGACTTCGGAATTACTATTCTTTGGTCTCGGGTATCTCCCGATTTATAGCTGTAAAATAATAACGTATTTACGTGTTATTTATGCCTCTGATTTAACAACAGTGTGAAACTACGGAGGCATTGAACAGGCAAGTTGGAGAAAAATAAGTAGTTACACAATTCAAAGAAGTTTTAACTACATTTTTTTACAAAACAGTATTTAATTGCTGTACTCATTAAAATACCTGTTTATTTTCTTGATACGTTCATGTCACGGAATAACCCCGATAATTTTAGGGGTTTACCTGTTCTGATACGTTGTATCTGCGTTAAAATCTTAAGAAAACGGGAAACAAAGCCTCGTCCTCTATAGTAAGTTCGACCTATCTTATTTCGACCTATCTTTTTCAAAATTTAAGGCTGAAAATGAGCTTTTCGACCTATATACCCCATCGACCTATAATCCCGAAATTACGGTACCTATAATGGTCAGGTAGTCAGAAAGATGTACACTCCATAGAAATGAAGATTTTTTATAAAGTCAGTTTGAATATTGAAGTAAACGTTTGCATATGAGAAGTAAAAAATAAAGTTTGTAGTGCCTAGGGAAAATATCAGTTAAACTATGATATCCATGATTGAAGTACTTACATTTTTGTGAACAGGTTTGATTGGTTCCAAACAAAGACTACAGTGACTTTAGTGGTGTATACAAAATGGAAGTCCATGAAGTCGGATTTTGTGGTTATAGACTATTGTGATAACAAATTTCTAGCCTCACTCTACATAGAAGATTATATTTACTATTTACATATAGGTGAGAAAATTTTCATGTATTATTTTCAAATCATGGAGATAAAAAATTTTATACTGGGATTTATAAGGGGAAAAAAAATTACCTATAATAAATTCTTATTAAGAACCGCAATAGAACCATTCATTTTTCAAACATTCCAAAGTTTGGACCTTTGGGGTTAGAGTTGTCTTAAATTGGAATGAAATTTTTACCCTGTTCATACTGAGAGTTTAATTCGAATTAAATGTAAGTTACTGCAAATTCAATTTGAATCGCGTTCACACGGAGACTTTAATGCGAATTAGTTTAATTCGAATTGGTTTACTGCACATTAAATTTCTTTGCATACTTCCGTGTGAACACTAAGCATAATGGCAAAGTTAGGTCAAATGCCACATGTCGGTGGTTAGCTTTAAGTACTTGTGCTATTTTTTAGCTAAAAATATGGAAAAGTGTGTTAATCACTTAGATGTGTGTAAAGACAGTAACATTTTGTCAAATGCATCTGCTTCTGCATAAATTAATGTGATGTGTTTTGCATTTTATTGTAGATTCTTTTTAGTTCAAAAAAAAAATCAAAAGCTGTTAAGCTGAACCATAAATAGCCCATTAAGTTGTACTGAATTTCTTTGATATTGTGTCCATATATAGTTAAAAGTAAATACAGTCTTTACAACATTCATGAGGTATTTCATAACAAATTGATTTTAAGATGACATTTATTTTTTTGTCCGTTATAGAACTTGCAGAGGCAATATCATTAAACTATGAAGGTATGTATGTTTTAACTTTAGTGATTGAAGTTATTTTTATTTTATTTAAGATACACATATCCATTCCAAATAGCTCTTTTATTATTTTTTTCTGCTCAGCCGTATTTGTTCATTTTTATGGTACTTGGGGTTTCTCGATAGAATTGCATAACTTTATGTC